TTGGAAGGAAACGATTATTTCTGTCTTTACCATGATATTTGTCACATATACGAATCCAAAACAATGATCTATATTTAATTTTAATTAGTAATCCAGAGAATTCTAACGTACCGATATAATATAAAAATTTTTTTATTTCTCATAATATACGTAGGCTAATTATGATTTGTAACGATAGTTTAATTTATAAATATAATTTTGTATTCAAATAGTTAAGATAATAATTGTACGTATACGAATAAGCTAGACGTATTGTAGATAGTTTCGAAAATATTTTAGTTTCTAATCTTAGATGATCTCTGTAGAGTGTGGTCAGGATTGTCAACAAAGCGTCTAAAGTGGGGATAGGTCATAGCGAATGACTTCTCTTACCTCTGTTGCCGTTCTGCGAGACTTCTTTTCACCAGTAAACAATAGATACATGCTTACATTTATTTTCTCATTTTTATATATCGTTACATTTCTTTCTTCTATATTCTATTGCGCAATAATTTATAAATATAAAAATGAAGCTAAAAAAGATTAAAATAATCGTATTCAAAAAATTTTGTCAATTTATTTTCTTGGAGTTGGATGGACCAACACTCGACTAGTTACGTGTACTGTTGTCGCATCGAATGACTGAAATTTAGCTGCGTACGCTTTTAGCACGATTACATCCGCTTTATCCGCACATTTTGCAGAGTGCAACGTTGTCTGGCAACGTTGTGAGAACAGAATTAGGTACAGGTGGTTCGAGAGATAATTCGTTAAATTACAAGCATGCGTTGGTATTCTCGATAACCAATGGGTTTAAATTTAAATTTCTGACTCTTGAGAGTTTGTAGAATGGTTTCTCGAAGGTATTCCTTCCTCATTCCAAATATATCATAGTTAAATCGTGCAAAGAAAATATTCATTTTATTTATTTTTTAAAGATAAGAAGTAATTTAGTTTCAGATTCTTTTTAATTTATAATAATAATCGCATAGATACATGAAATTCTAATTTTTCATCATAATCAGACAAAGTTTATTCCTTTGATTTGTCATCGAACGCTTTTCGAATATTGTTTATCGCTGACTTGTGAAAAAAAGATATAGAGTTGACTTTACGAAACCTTAACTGGATTGAAAACTGCTTGTTGAAAATTGCTCGGTTATCAAAAACTGCTGTGTACTTGGAATTTTAATATCTTTTTGAGGTCACTCGCCGTTACTCGTTATTACTTAATAATCTTTAAGTAAACTAAACTTTTTAAAGATTCAATAATATTGCAAAATTTATTTTTTTAAATCATACCATTTCTTTTTCGGATCAAACGAATGCTTTACGAATGGATCAGGTGAACGCATAAATTCCTTCGAATTCCCCATTTCAGTTTGTCGTTGAAATAATAATCACTGCTAACAGGTGTAGCGTGACAGTTGGTAATTACCAACTCCGAGCAAAAGCATGCGTACGTGTGTATACATCGACCGTATATATGATTATTCATCGACTTGGTTAATATTCTACACCATGTGACGACAGTGAAACGCGATGATTTTCCTATGAAATGGCGCACGTTCATTTGTTACGAACATAATAAATCATTTTCATTTGCATTCCGTTCTTGCGCATAATTCAACGATCACCAAATAAAATTAACAACATCGAAACCCAATCCTATTCGATATTTTATAAAGTATAAAATTTACTTTATAAAAAAAAAAAGTTTTTCAAGATTAATTTTAAGATCTTATATCTACTTTCTTCGAAAGAACTATTATCGTGCAATTACTTAACTTGCTCAACTATAATATAATAATAAAAATTTTTATAATCTCTTTTTCATTCTCTTCCAAATACTTCGATTAACAGCAGATTGATTATTTTTCCAACATTCCAACGAAACCACAGAGATTCTCTCCGGAGAAAGTAAAATTCTCGTATAGTTCAATTTCCGCCAATAAACGGTCACCAATTACAAATAATATTCTCCGTCTTTCGTTCCCATTGCTTTCACCTTGCGAATTGCGACGTTGGGCGGTTCCACCGGCACGCAAGGGAAAAAAAACACGACCGTTAAAACCGAGAAACGAAGAAACATACTGAACGTCCTAGCTCGCATATGCGAGAACATTCCTGGATGGAGAAAAATCTTGGAATAAATGTCAGATATATGCAAACGTATATCAACAGAGGAACCGTTATATCACGAAAGATATTTTTTCCATTTTTGAAAGATTCGCAACATCGAGCTGCGTTTGATAGTAGAAAATCTTCAGCGAATCTTCTCGAATATTTTCCAAACTGAACTCCATCGAAAGTCATTCTTATATTTATATTTGTCAATTCAAACCTATTTTCATAATTATAGTTATAGATATTCTATGGACAATGATCCGTGATATTTTTCGAACTTCTCGAATCTTTTTCAAAATAAACTTCATTAAAAATCGTTTTTATATTTATATTCACCAATTTAACTGAAATAACAAAACATTTATAGATATAGTTACACATATTCTGAATGAACAGATATCTATGATATTTTCTCGAATCTTTCCCACACTGAGTCCCCATCGAAAATCGTATATTTATATTCGCCAATTTAAATGAAATAACAATTATCATCTACGGATATTCCATACCCGTGATATTTTTCGATCTTGTCAAAAATCTTTTCCACAGTGAACTTTCTTAAAAATCCATCTTATATTTACATTCGCCGATTCAAATTATAATTACAAATATCCCACGAGCGAAGATTCGCGATAATATTTGTCGCTCTTCTCTTTTCCATGGAGTTTCGGTCTCCGGTTCAAGCGTCTCGCGTTGCGATGGGATCCCGGTCGGACTCGGTCCCAGATAATATCTTCTAATTCAACGTTGGGGCCAATCGGACATGCAAATGCGCCGATCCGAGAATCTCGCGTGAAATTAATTGCGCGTGACGCGACGCTGGAGCTCTCGAAAGCTCTGTGGCAAACTCGATCGAGGATCTGCTCCTTGCAAGGATTGGACAGCGTCGCGTGTTAACACGCGCGAGGAATGGAGACGGTATACAACGTGTATACGGATTGGCGTGTGATTCGAGCACGAGACTAATCGAACGTTCCACGGAAGACACGAGGGGATTGATTCAACGAACACCGATCGGATTGGATCGTCGTTAGAAGGAAAGGATTTTCGATAAACTTTTTTCTCAAAAATCGATCCGACACGCAATTGCGATAAATTTAGATTAAAATTTTTTCTTGACTTCGGCTTCGTTTGATAATAAAATTTTATTATTTATTATCTAGAAAGATATTGATGCAATCACGCGGAATATATATATATATATATATATATATATACTCGGTGATAATTTTCGTATGGTTGGATGACTCGAGATGGAGATTCATCTCGAGTCACGGGTAATCACAGGTATGAATATTTCTGGAAAGAGCGTGACGATGAATGGAAAATTGATTGATGCATCAGATTCAAATTGAGAGAATATTGCGTGATATTGAAGTTATTGAAGATTATTCGAGGAAAGTAATTATCGTATTTCACGAATATGGAAACTTCTTTCTATGATTTCCTTTTTCTTTGAACGACTTCGATATCCAAAGATGTCCAAAGCGGAGAAACGTTTAATACGAAAATTTAATTTCCGCGGAAACCGCAGAAACGAGAACTTTCTAAACGAGATTTTCCTTTCCTTTTTAAATCAAATTTATTAAGACCATCCGACATTTGAACTTTCCAGCGTTTGGAAAAAAATTTCTAATTTTCCTTTTTTTTTTTTTTTTACGCTTTTAGCACGATATTCACATTTTACGGAAAAAGTATTTCTAAAAGAAGGGGAAGAATATATATATACAACTTTCTTTTCAACGTCTCACGATGGAACGTCGTAACATTCGATAGTAATAGACGTCAATATAAATTTAATATATTTATTAGGCGTATAATAGTGGTACTTATATATACATATATTGGAAATGGAATGGCACGAAATATGAACACTTCACGTCCTCTCGAGATGATGTCTCTTCACCATCGAATATATATGTATATATATATACCGATACCATTGATTTCTAGGATGGCATCGTTACGGTGCACCTGAAGGTTGAAGGTCAATAACTGAAAGCTGGTTGGACGCAGGTCGGTGAAAGTTTATTCCGATGGATACAAACCGAGCGAGTGAAAGCCATTCGATTAATTACAACTTTTATCCCCTTGTCAAACCATCGAATTAATCTTCATCGAAATTCTGGATGCACGCGTCCCATTAGATTAATTTCGTAGATTAATCACATGGAATTCTCTCTCTGTGTATCGTGCAATTTTACTACCAGTCTCGTTTAACCAGTCTTCTTCGAAACGCGCGTTATGGCTCGCGAATTCCCAACAAGGGAATTGTTTCTATAAAATATTTCTATCCTGTATTTATTCTTGTTTTTATTCTTGTTTTTATTCTTGTTTTTTTAGAAATTTTTTTTTTATCTCCTAGCTTCCTTAATCGGAAATCCGTTGAACAGTGGATCGTGATTTAATTGTAATCATCGAACGAAATGCGATTTAATATCAATGCGATCGAACGTCTCGATTCTCTCCCATTGTATTCCTCTTCCATCCTATGCGGGATAAAAGGAACGTTAGTCATCGTGGGGACTTTGGATTGAAAACGGTGAATCAAATGGTATTTCTCTCGCTATATGTATATATGGTCATCGAAATCGATTATTGGCGGATGATTAGAAACGCCATTCATCATTCACGTGTCGCACTTCCTTTCTTATTGAAACGCCATTATCTTCTTTGAACCGAAATCGAGTCATCGTCGAACCCCCTATATACGAATACCTAACTAATAATTTGAATTCGTAATTAATACACGCAATCAGGATGTTGCTCACTGTCGTTCGAGTTGAATATTGACAAAGAATATGAATATGGATTTTATATCGTTGGGATAATTCGGGGAATTCGCGTTAAAGATAAATACATTAAACTTTACAATTTTATTCGTGTAAATACATATATCATCGTGTATATCTCAATACATGGATCCTTTGTCCTCGGGCAGCAAGAAATGGATCACCACGTCCCCTCTGGCTGTTTTCACGATTTCTCTATGCCTGATCAATAAAGTCGCTGCCAGTCCGTACATTAACGTTGGTATACCTGATACAGGAGGAAGAACGAACGTATAAGATAACTAACGATTAATTATCGCTACTTGTCTTCCCTCTCTCTCTTTCTCCTTCCCTTCAGATCGAAAAAACGAGGAACGGATGGAAACGAGGACAATCGATGAAGGAAGGAAGGAGGGAAGGAAAGAAAGAAGGAAGGACGACGAGCACGGATCACGGCGACAGCTTTTTCCATTTGATATCGCGTATATATATATATATTGAGTTTACCAAGGTTCAAAAGCTTGATCGCCTTGAAAAATTTGTCCTCGGTGGTGAGGTCCTGCCGCGGCCTCTTGGTGCAGTGATACTTGATGTATGGAAAGCAGCCGGTTCTCAGTACGTGGTAATTGCTGCTGCCCACCGGCCAATTGAAGTGCGACATCCCCCTCTGATCGTTCACCACATCGACGTATCTCACGAAATACGAAGTCCACGGTGGCTCCTTCGATTGAACCAGATAGCTCGTCAACACCTGCGCACAAGGATCGCGTATACGTAACGTACGCGCAGTTCAAGTCAATATGGAGTATCCTCGATTCGTTTTCAGAAGCTAAGCTATATTGTCGCCACTTGATAATAATAACTCTATCCTTCGTGACGAATCGTGTACGATTCAATTATCAATCGATATAAAATAGGAGGGAAGAGGAGGAAGGAAGATCGAAGATTCTAATCGCTACGATTATTTAATAACCGTCGATAATTCCAAATCGTATCCAATATTAAAACGCTGTTTCCATCTCGAAGCGAATGACTCCAATTTCTTATCCATTCCACTGCGCTCTCTTCTTTCTTTTCCAACGGTTATTTGTTCCGATATGATTCGTTGAGAATTTAGCAATAGAAGGAGTGCGGCGGTCACGTGACGTGCGCGTTCCTCGTGCGTGAAGCAACGATGATTCCTAGGATCTGATCGATCTAGGGAAGAAGGGAGGGGGTTGGCGAGAATTCTCACGGTCGTCGATTGTGATTCAATGGGAACGGAAATTCTTGGAAATGCTAGTCGGTCGGTCGGTTTTGCACGTACGTTGAAACGCGCGTATGTCGGTACGTGATCCATCGACGCTAGGAAAAGAAAACCCGATGTAAAACGCGAGCCACGAAACTTGCCTCCGACGCTAAAGGCTTCGTCTTCTTGGAAGCAATCTTCGCCCAAGTAACGTATGGACAAACGGCGAGCGTTCTTCGGCCGGACAATGGTTTTACGAACATTCGAAGGATTCTTCTCTCTTTCTCTTTTCTTTTTTTTTTTTCCACTGTATCAAATCTTCGCGAGGATTCTCATTTTTTCTCCCCCTCTTGGTCCCCTCGAGATCTCTCCGTGGTTTCGACGTGGAAGCGGCTGAAATAACGAGATTTGTTCGAAAAAAGAAAATGTAATCTGTAGATAGCAAATACGTGGAGAAGAGGCGATGTATATCGTGTAAACGGAGTAGGTTAATGTTTCTCAGAGAGATTGTTTCGATAGGTTGTTTTGAAAAGTGATATTGGATATGGATCGTTCAAATATGCGATTCGTAATTAGAGTTCACCGTATAGACGTTGTTCACAGAGTCAGAGTTCTCGTGGCACGTTTCATTCTACCTTTCTAAAATAAACCCGTATCGAATGCCGCGCGAAATGTCAAGGTTAACGAGGATCAATTTGATCTCGGCTAACGGAAAATTCATTTCGAAGTAGGTTTCGCCACGCACCACCATCGCGAGCTCACCGAACCGTGAAAAATTGATAAATTGTAATTGATTATACAAGGGCTGATATGATTTGCACGATGATTGATTAGTTTTATTATATTATATATTATATCTTTTTATACTCTTAATTAATCTATTTTTGAATATTTTTTTTTTAATATAAATGTATCGTAGCTTAGAAAAAAATTCTACTTTCGATTTATTTTATTTTAAATGTCTACGAACGAAATGTTGATACAAGGAAATCATATATACGTATAATGTAACGCGAGATATTGTAAGTATATAAAATTACATCGAATTGGATAAAAGCAAGCTTTTTGCACAATTTTTGCAACTGTCGATTCTTGGCAATTCTTTACGCTTCGTTTGAAATGTCGCGGTCATTTTCTTACTTCGGCCAGCGCTATTACTCACGTTTCGTCGCATGCGCAACACACTCGAGTTGCGAAGAAATGCACACGACGCGACGTATCACGTTCGTATTTTAGAATTCGCGTTTCATTTAACGCGGTTCCTCTCGTTCAGTTAATTCCACGTATACCTCAGTTAGTTTTACGTGTGTGTGTGTGGTGTGTATGCATGTGGATGACACGAATATATTAAGTAAATCACAAGTAAATTATACGTGGTATGACTGGTGGTAATATTAGGTCAACTGGTTGGATTGGTTATCTCTGGCGCTGCTATCGATGATATTGATCCTCCGTGGCGGTCTTTTCGAATATTCTTCGTTCCTTTTTCGTCCGATATAAATCTGAAATTAGAATATTTATGTTTATTTCATAATTTTATTATTTGAACGAGTAATAAATATTAAATAATAATAAATAATAGATAGTAAATATTATCATTTCTATCTTGTAATTTCGGATCATAGAATGTGTCAATATACCAATGTGTTAAACCTAACGGGATAACGGTATCGCGTTTCTATTAGCAAAGGTAGTGATTTAGCACTGGTTATAACATCGATTCTACCTTATATTTATGTTCATCATATTCATAAATAAAATAACAATTATCACGTAACGTATAGATATAACTGTGAATAGATATCCATCGATGAATCTGTTTTTTTATTTAAATTATCATGATTATTGTTATTATATTAAAATTTAGCAATAATTTAGCGATTATTTTTTTTTGCAATTATATATACATTTTTTAATTTTTTTTCTTATTTCAGGTAAGTTTCCCGAACCACGTTAACTCAAATAAGTAATTTTTATATCATTCTAATAGTATTCTCCAAGAATGGGATGGATATTCAAATATCTTTCGGTTTAGCTAAACAAAAGGTTAAGCTCGAACGAAGCTATAGAATTCGTTCGACCACTGGATAGTAACCGCACCCAGGATCGTTTACACGTACACATACCATATCTATACACTATGTTATAAATTGTCTATTTTTATTAACGGTAGCTCGAGTTTCATTTATGTATTCTATCTTCCCATCTATAAAAGATGTTTCCAATCCAATTGATCGGCTGATTGCCGTCACATTATTATACAAGTATAGGAGAAACGATTCGCACAGACTCGTAAGAGGGAAGAAGTGTAAGAAGCATATTTGTCATATTGGATTACATATTGATGCGCTAATCCTACATGGAGAACAGGAAACGTTTATAACACGATCTACGATCGTATCGGTAGCTAATCTTCGTAAAATTCGAATTCTTTTTCTTCGATAGGATTCATTGATCGAAGAAAATCGAAAAGAATCTCGTGATACGCCTATTTATTTGGGATCGTGTAAAAATGTAATCGATTCGATGTATTTACGACGCAATTTGATTCACGATTTGTACGATGATTAGACAAAAAGCATAGATAACGAGTTTAATAACAGAGATATAAGAATCAGTCGAGAATAAAATGGTAAAAGGCGAAGAATAATAATTAAACCTTCGTTCCGGATCTCTCTCCGGAAATGAGGGACGAGAATCACTTTTAATCAATTTTCGTCCGAAACAAAATTTCATTCGAACGAACATTATAACGAGAATCCATTCTATTCAAATTTCCAATGTTCCAGTGTCGTAATTACATCCGAGGATTCATTTCCGCCGAAGATGGCCGTTCGAGAATTTCACGGAAACACGATCCCGCCTGCCCGGCTTGTATTTCTGGAACACTCTATTTGCGCGTATTTATGCCTGCCTCGATAGATATATTCTTATGCGATCCTTGGATATAGTTGGTGTACAGTTGAATATTCACTTCAGGATGATCGGACGCATGCGCCTCGCAGACGCACGCACGCACGCATGTACAGGAGACGAGGAGACTTTCAGTGCGGGTAACGCGTTACTTATTTCGATGCGAGTCTACGATTTCTGTGAGATAAACGATGTAATGACCATCGTGGTCGTGTCGGTTGCAACTTGTTCCCTTCTTCGTTACGCGAAAACGTACGTTCGTAACGTGATTGTGTGGTATAATGGCGTGAATTTAGAATTACCACTGCCAGGACACGCGCTCCTTGACGCTGGTTAACGGTATTCCTAAACAGGTGTCCCTCGCTTGAAACGTCGTCGTCGTTTCAATTTCTGTCCATTTCTATTCAACCATGTTGTGTTGTGAATATACACGTGTTAAATTTTATTTAGAATAAAATATATTAGATTTTTGTGGATTTTACTATTTTTATATCATTGAAAATATACAAGATGTGTCTAATTAAATAATTCGATAAATCCGGTTGCGATATTATCGATCGAGTATCATCTCTTTCGTCCATTGAATTAAATATCTTGCGCGGTCGAAATTTCTTTCGATACGCTTCGTCTTTCTACTGTAGAGAATTGCGTCCAGGCTGACTATTTTCGTTTCTTGTAACAGTCGATCGTAAATGTTCGATAAGACGACGAACGTGGCACGACGTGGTTCGACAGTATTTCCGCATATTTACAGACGTGACAACATCATGCCGACGATAAATCGTGGATAAAGGTCGAGGTTGTCGATACAAACGATGCACGCTCAAAATTTAAATTCTCTCGAATAGTTACAGACTTTTCAACTTCTCCAAGTTAACACGATATCGAGTTTCCCAACGAGTAGAAGTTTCAAACGAGTTTATTAGTTTTCAGCGAAGTTATGAATAATCCGAAACTTAAATCCTGATGCTCGCGTTACGTTGCACGACAGGTTTCACGACAGGTGTTCGAGAAATTAACACGATTTAATTTATTCAACACGCTTCAGATTTATTTCAATTACGCGATGAACCATTGATATTCGAATATAATTTCTTGTTCTTTCCAATCCAAAAATTTCTAAGGATCATAATCATTGCCCATTCTTTTCGAATTCTCTTCCTTTCAAGATTAATTCGTTTCCAGTTTCTCTCCTCGTTCTATTCCTGCACGATAGATCGTGTCCACCACGTTCATTTCAAACGTTTGTGCTGGAATTTTCGTGCTCACCTCGAGGGCGAAACCATCCATATCCACCGTAATTTCTCGCCTATAGAAATTCGAGAGTGCGTCTTTTTTTCGAGCTCAAGAATTTCACAAAGCTTCGCGAAATTTTCATGCAAAATTCCACGCTGAAGAAAGCGAAGGCGCTTTGTTCGAGGGACGGATGGAAATTAGAAAGCCTTTGACCGAAAAATGTTTGCGTTTACATAATGAAATTCGTTGGCGAGAAATTTAATGACGGCTTGGAGCCTTCCTCACCGGATGCCAAGAATCTTTTTGTCGGCCATTGCGGTATCGCGAACAGTGCGGTTCGCGGTTAGACGACGTGGATGCAACGAAAGAATCACACGGGCAGATTTAGTTTCTGTCCTAAGACCAGTCCTCCCTCCCAACGTTTCGCTTTCTGCTTCTTTTGTCTCTTTCCTCGCGGGAACGAGGTTGAAACAACGGCAATGCGCATCTTTACCGTTTCTTAAATATAATTTTCTCGAAACGAAGTTGGCCGACTGCCTCCCTCTCTCCCTCTCTCCCTCTCTCTCTCTCTCTCTCTCTCTCTCTCTCTCTCTCTCTCTCTCTCTCTCTCTCGACGATTCTTCGACTAATTTCTCCTTCCCAGTTGTTTTTACGTTTCCGTAGACTGCGTCTAATTTTATTGTCAAAGTCGGATATGTCGATATTTTATCGCGTCTTTTGGGCTTATTTCAATGTTGGTTGATTACGTAATTATTACGTAACATCTTGAGAATTTTAATACTTCGTAAAATATATACGTTGGTAAAACGAAACTTGTTTTTTTCATATTTCCGAGAAGCATTAAATACATTTCATAAGTCCTATTAAGAACTATTTTCGTATCCATAAATATCTCGTATATTTATACAATTTGCAATTCGATATATATATATATATATATATATATATATATATATATATATATAGAGAGAGAGAGAGAGAGAGAGACGATATGTTATCATGTTCTTTCCTGCAACATCTCGAATTTATCGCGAGTGACAAAATAATAAAATACATACGTATATTTTTAACCAATTCGTAATTCGAGTTTATTGATCGATTCGCTTTATACACGTTGTGTTCGCACGGATTTATCATGGATATTTGTTAAATTGAATTAAACGAGATATAATACAAGTTTCGTGCTCGTATATTACACATACATGCTACGCTATGATTTGTCAAAAGACGAATGGTCAGCCTGTTGATATCCTTTCAGTCGTATGTTCGAGATTTTGACCCGGTTTTAACTGATTATGCTCGACGTATTGGATATTGATAAATCAGGTCACTTGTTAAGCAGCAATATAATCTTCTTTTGCTTAGATGGGATAGCCGTTATTCCAATCCGTATTGTCAATTACAAATTGTACTTGAACAGTTATGCAATAAAGCGGCAGTTACGATATTCAGATTTAGCGTTTGTCAGCGAGGCAATGGTTCTTTAACGCGAGACCGCAAGCTTCGATTGCCTTTGTTATACCGTGTAATAACGCGAGTGTGGTGGTCATTATCCAACACCGGTAATTACGTTCACTTTTAATATGTACGATCCATAATTAGCAGCCTCGGTGTAAATGCAATTAAGCGCACGTTGAAATGAAGGACTGGCACGGGATTTCGTTGTTAAACGCGAGTTACAACGTATATCGGTTATTCTGAAAAATTTACGATTCGAAAGAGGGAGGGGAAGGGGGGAACGGTCGTTAACGATATTGCCTGCTTCGTTCGGCTACTTTTCAGTAATTTCATGCATGCTTTAATATGACCATATATATTATTAAAACTCGATCCGAACTTTATATATATATATATATAAATTCACGTTATGATTTTCGTAATGGTGATTAACGACGAGCAGAAAATGGTACTCAGAATCGATAACCAGTGAACATAGATGGGGGTTATGCGTTATAAGTTATATGGAATATTAAAAATATGTATTAATTTCACGAAAGGACACGCATTATTATTCTTCTTACGTCGAGAGAATTTTTTTCAAATTTTCCGCGTAAAAAAAAATTTATATTCGAAAGAAGAATCTAGAGAAAATAAACGATAGAAAAAAGATCGATGTTCATACTGTAGTATCTGGTGAAAAATTGTTTTCATATTCGAGGCGCGGCAAACAATACTAGAAAAAATAAACAAGAGGAAAAAAAATTGATATTCATAT